TAGCGGTATTAAAAACCTGATTCCAAACTTTTGAACTGTACAGCATTAAGTGTTTTGTAAAGTATACCGAGGACATACACCGCACAAAGACATTGAATGAGAAAATCACTAATTCACCACTGAATATCAAACTTATCAAGCTTACTTGGGCTTTATTGGATCAAAAGGAGTCTCCTCCAGGAGATCATAGATGTAGTTGTTGTATATCTCAATGTAAGACACAAAGACACTATAGCTGCTGTCCTCATCCACCCCATCTGCTCTACAAGCATCCTCTGGGCTGATCATGTCAGCAAACTCAGGGTCAATTCGCCTACAAAACAAGAACAGCAGATAAATGTATTGCGTTTCATTTAAATCAGATTACGTTCTTTTGTAACTGATTTCAAATGGAAATTACCTTGTAGTTGGGGTTTTCGGTACAGTTGACTGACTGTCTCGCTTCTGTCGGTCCAAGAGTGCATCTACCTGATTCTGCACCTCCATGCCATTTTTATCATCAGGCTTGAAAACCTAATGAGGGAAAGATCAAGATAACTCAAATATGGGAAATTTACTTATGCTCTTTTATTCTGTTATGCAAGAATAAAAGTTAAGTAAATTGATGAATTCACTCACATATCTCTTGGCCTGGTAGGGGCCAATGCTGTTGAAGATCATGTCAAGTGAACGTGGAAGCAGCCCACCTTGACCCGGTGAGCCAGTCATTGTATGAGTTTTACCACTGCCAGTGACACCGTAGGTGAACAACAGGCCTAGTTTGAAAAGAACACTGCGGTCAGTCTTAACACAGACCAAGCTTAAACCTAGTTCCAGACTAAAAGGCATGTTTGGGCCATTTTAACTGAAAGCTCCTTGCAATGGCATCTCTTAAAATATGTCTCTCAAAATGCACACCAGTATTTTTTTCTAAGACATGTTTAAAGAAAACTCATTAAAGGGTTAGTTCACCCAAAAATGAAAATTCTGTCAGCATTTACTCACCCTCATGTTGTTTTAAACCTCTATGTGTTTATTTGTTCTGCTGAACACAAAGGAAGATATTTGGAAGAATGTTTTAATCAAACAGATCTCATTCCCAAGTGACTACCAAAGCATTCTGACGGTGAGTAAATACTGACAGAATTTTCATTTTTGGGTGAACCAACCCTTTAAATGCCCTAATTAAACTAAGGCCTAATTCATTTCGGATTAATCTAAACCTGTCTGTCAAACCAAGCCATATTTTTTTTTAAATAAAATAATGTCCATAAGAGCATATTTACCATTTTTACAGTGAATAAGGTCTTCCACCAGAGGTTTAGCAACATCTTCAAATAATTCCCTCTGTGTGGTTTTAATTCCAAACACTTTTTTGAAGGAATATTGTGTCTGAAACAGAAATTATTAGTAAGCTAGTAGTCCAACAAAGCCCGACTAGTGCCATAAGAATATTTTGCAAATGAGAGAAAGCAGTTCATTAAGACTCAAGACTTGAAAAAGCACACAAGTTATACGGACCACATTTATGGTGCCTTTACTGTCATTTTACAAGCTTGACAAACCTAGTACTCCATTTTTACTATATAGAAATATTTAACCATTACACATGTTGCACAGAAGAAGAAAGTCATACAGTCTCAGAGGGATGGAGGGGAATAAGGGTGAACTGATCCTAATAAGGGTGAACTGATCCTAATTCACAAAAAGATCAGATACAATTTTTAAATAATTCTTGAGGACACTCACCTCTTTGAATTCACCATTCCTATTAGCTTTGAGCCCATCAGGAGCATGTAACTGAATGGTGGTATTGCTTATAACCTCAATACAGCATTCCTCATCATCTGCACCTAGTGGGCGCACACGACAATACACCTGCCACACACACATCGCAGATTAATACGTTTATCGTGATTTTGATTATCTTAATGTGAGCAACAAGTTACAACATACTCCAACAGGGTCCTTCTGGTTGTTGGAAGTCTTTTTCGGAGGAGGGCGGCGGGGGGTCTTGCCCTTCCTGTTACAAAATCAAAAATGCAGACGTCATTTAGTCAGCAAATAACTTAAGTTCAAACAAAAGGAGTCTGGCTTAGGTTGAAAGAGTCCTAAGCGATCTTTTTGGAGTTACAAAAGGAAAATTGAACCAGCTAACGTCATTATTAGTTACTGGTTTTAACGTGAAACACCAAATTGGCTAACCTAACTTTAACTTACACGTTCGTAATAATGTGGTCGACAAAAAGTCAGCCAACTAAAATAAATAGAAAACAAGAGAAATTCCGCGGAATTATGAACTGATATAAAGTACAAAAAGTGGTAATAACGCCAGCTAAAAAATAACCGAGCCGTGAGCGAGTTAACGTTAGCAGCTACACTGCTAGTATGAGCTTTTACCTAACGTCTTTCTTGTGAGACCAAACACTCAGTTATTTGGTAATAAACAGAACTTTAATCATTCGTTATCAGTTTAACATGACTAAAATACAAAATATATAAAAGACACTTACGCTTGCCTATTCATGTTGGTGGTGTTTTAGTTCAATTCTGCGACACCGTTGCCTTGTTCTTGTCCGTATACAACACTCAAAATTCAAACGTTCCCTCTCTGCGTCAGAAACTGATTTTTCAAATGTGACCAATCAGCGAGCTCAGACGCGCCTCAGCAAAGCGGATGTCCCGCCCACCGCTCTCCCATTGACAATATCCGGTTTTATACAGATTCTAATAAACAAGGGTGGAATGGTATTAAAAAAGACCTCAGTGGAAACATGTTTTTAACTTTATTGTGCTATCCTTGACAAAGGAGTGTATTTCACAATTTTTTTTTGTCTTATAAAATCGAGTCGAGTACCTTAACATCAGGGGTATTTACATGGCAAACACAAGGTCAAAATCACACACAATCCATAAAAATTGTATTATTATGTAAAAGAGTTCAAAATATAAGATAGACACTTATATATATATATATATATATATATATATATATATATATATATATATATATATATATATAAATATATATATATATATATATATATAAAAGAAAATCTTACATACATTTGGGTGATACATTCTGAAATATTCCTTTTAAACATGTTTCTGCATAAAAGAGTTTCCTTTTAAGTATCATAAAAATACAGTCCAGCAAAATTTGTTTTACAATCACAGTAACTTGACACGAGAGAGATAAAAGGAGGAACTTCACCCATCAATAGAAACTCATTGAAAGTCTTGAGTAACCCAGTCAGCACCTAGTGAAGATGACATGATCATGTCTTGATTTCAAGACACTTCTTTTAATACTTATTTATTTCATAGTTTATTATATTCATCCCATTCCTTCTGCCACTTGTTAGTGTTGTACAAGCTAATTAATGGTCTGAAGTCAGGTGGTTAAGCATATTAGTTTTATTTAGTAAAAATATAAAACGTTACATTCTGTATTAACAAGATTTATTTATAAGTAATATCTATTTTTACAGTGTTCAAAAAGGCTGATTATAAAAATGCACTTGTATATAAATGATGATAATAAGTCTGATTAAAGTGCTTCAAAAATATGTAAATATGATTTGAAAATGTTAAAGAATTTAAGTAAATAAAAAAAAATTACAACAAAAACATTGATCAAACATACAACCTAATCATAAATTATACAGTCTTATAATCTTCCAGATTAAATACAATCTTCTCAGGCTGTTCATTACATTGCTTCTTTTGAACAGTCATAAAATATATATAAATATATTTTACTCCGTTTTAGGGAAACTAACATGGCTGCCCAGAGTAACCTTATCAAATGTCACATTTCAAACTTCTTCACACCTCTGGTGGAGAAAAGTGCCAGACTAAAAACATATATTATACAAAGGCCGCTAACCACACTAAATATTGCAGCTCCCACTGTGTTTGAAAGGGTGATCGGTGGCAAGTGAGCATGAAGCCACTGCTTCCGTGCAGCCATGTCCAGTTCATTAGCAGTCATCTGGAAATACGTGCCAATAATAGCGAACACGTGGAAGAGCTGATGACTGTGACCTGTGAAGGATGCATCAAAAAAAAAAAAAAAAAAAGTTTATAATTAGTAGAGTTTAAGGTTGTGTAATCTGAATTTATGATGCTTAGTTTAAAGGAAATCGAACGATTTGTTATAGTACCTATGTAGTCAAAACTACCAGGAGCCAACCGTTCAGGCAGGTGTGTGGCAAAAAGAAAGCCAGTGAAGAGAGCCAATGACGTGTGCTGATAGTGAACCGTATTGGCCTCATTAACAGTGCAACCCTCACCAGCACACACAAATATCTACAAAAGGAGGCCAAAAGTCCAAACAAAGTTCTTTACATAAATTAATTTAGTTAAATTTCTCAATCAATACAAAAACAACCAAAACAAAAAGTTGAGTTCATCCACAAAAAAACAAAAAACAAACAGAGAATAGAAAATGACCCAAAACACTTACTCTATAAAAGAGAGGGATGTTGTCAAAGAGATATGGATAAAGAAAGGCGATTATCCTTAGACGTTTACAGCGCTTCTGATCTTTTCCCCCAGAATACCTAAAAAGAGAATAAGAAATGTTTATTTACTGAAAACATTTTTTTTTTTTTACAATCAAATATGTCAAGAATGCAAAAGAGGAACTACCTTTTAATGCTGTGATAATTATACTGAAGAAATGGTAAACCGAGTCTTAAAACAAAACAAATAAAATGTTTAGTCTGGACATTTTAGCACAATATAAACTTTCAGGAAAATGTATATTTGCAAAGCGTAAATTAACAAAGCAGTTTTTACTGGAATTATAGGTTTTATTGATTTCTTATCCTACCTTGAGTAGCAGGCCAGTGCAGTAGAGATCACAGAGTTGACAACAGCTATAGGAACATAATATTCATGAAATGTGCCATTAACCCATTTATCTGGAAATGAGTAAGAAGAGTAGGCGATGGCAGAACCTGTTGATGATCAAATAGACACATTTAAAAAAAAAGAGGAAATATTAAGAATTAATGATTAAAATTTTAAACAAGTGGAAACTGCATTTTACTCAATAGTTCTGTTGTATTTTCTACATACCAAGGCTGTAGAAGCTGAGTGCTCCATAATCAAAGAAGAAGCAGATGTGCCTGGCCCGTTCTGACATGGTACTGAAGGTATGAGCACAGCTGGAAGCGAGTGGGTACACACAACATGACAGCAGGAACACCAGCAAGGGCCAGGTGAATGGATCCTTCCAGTCATCCTGCACCAGCACTACCGTCAGCAGTTTCCATAAGAAAAACCTTGCATAACAAAAACATCCATTACTTGACAATCTAAAATCGCAAGCGTGCATCAAAGACGTGGTGTAGCAGTAGTCTGAATGCTCTTGCAATAAAAAGGCAAAATGCCTTGGATTTAAATAGGCAAATGTTTAGGAGTCAATGATTGGATCATTATTGCAGTGATTATTATGTGTCTAACATGTTTTACAAGTAGAAAGAGTTTCTAACACTAACTGATTGTGTTGTGATTCATTTCTGAAACATCACGCCCAGATCTTGACCAAAAACGTATGCAACTTTTGATTTAAAAATGTAATTTCCATCAAGAACAACATAAATGTTTGGTAAGATCTTGTATTGACAATGCAAGAGTGGAACACACTGTAGTGTAAAGTCTCCTCCAGCACTTCCCAAAGACTTTCAACGAATTTACATAACACTGCAATAATGATTCATTCATTGACTCTTAATCATTTGCAAATGCTTGCTTATTTCTTCAGCATAAACATACGCATTATATAGCTATATGTATATAAAATGCAAATAGTTTAAACTTTAAATACATTAATGTGCAACAATTAAGTTGAACTTACAGGAAAATTCATAAGCAAATGTAAACATATACAAAACGATGAATGCTGAAAGTGAGTTTACCATGTGGGCAGGAAATGAGTCCAAATATTGAGAGTTTCATTTGTTAGTTGGAAAAGACTAAGCACACACTCCTTGGCTGAGCTGCATGGGTGGCGATACCCTGAAATGATGCCATCCTCATGGAAGACCTATAATGAAACATATATTTATTAACTGAAATTTGCATTTATCAAGGTAATATATCTGCTTTAATAGTTTATGACTGACATGATAGTGTCAACTCAACCAGTGTACAACAAATTCAACGGTGCTAAACAAAGATATTTATTGCAAAGTAACATCAGAATTGAAAAACTTACTTTTGGAACTTGGTTGATGGTGAACACTTGAGGTAGCTTGATGAGATTGAGCATAGTAGAGGAAGGCTCCAGCAATTACAAGATGGAGAGACCAGCTGCCATCTACAGAGCTTCTTCTTGATCCAGTGATTGCTTTAGAAGTCCTCTCTTTAGTGTTCTCCTCGATAGCACCTCACAGTCCAGTAACCATCTCAGGAAGTGCACCTATGGGGGTAAATAGTTTCAAGATGACGTCTTGAATCTATAAGTCTTTCATACATAAAGCTGTTATCTGGAAAAGCGCATCAAAACAACACATATTAAAATGTAAAAATGTGTTGCTGTCAAACCAATCGCTTGTGTTTAGCTAAAAGTCTACAATAGCTTTTTACAAACCTGTTATAGCAGCAGTGCGATAGACAGGGTTATCAAACTCTAGTCATAAACCTTGTGGCTGGAAATGTACCTTCCTGAATAAACACAAATTTAATCATTAAACCCCTATTATTCTCATATACTGCTACCTGAAAATCACCATACCTCAAGTACAAAAAGTTAGTAGATCATTAACTTAAAGACTGGAGAGGGGAGCAGGGGAGAAAAAAAATCACTTGTCTTTGCCCTTTGAATGTACAGAAACACTTTTTTGTTAGGTAGTAAAATCTTCAATTGATTAAATATTGTTTAAAGGAGTAGTTCACCTTTAAAAAACTTTTGCTGATAATTTACTCACTCCCATGTCATCCAAGATATCTATGAACTACTCCTTTAACATACATTAGAGGGATGTGTAAAATCTTAAAAAATAATATGACTGGTCTATCAGAGCTCATATTTTAACATAGAATACACAAATACAAGGGTCCTAAATCTTTATTGTAACAACAATCACTAAAATACTTAAATGTAAAGATTCAAGTAAAATGTAACTCATCTTCATTGTGCAGTAGCCCATCATTAATAAATGGTAAACAACGAGGTATATTTTTTTACATTTGACAACAATAGACTTGACAAAAAAAGTCAAAGCACACAGGAGGAGAAATGCATCCAAAATCCAACTAAGCATTATGATAATTACAAGGTGGAAGTAGATATTGTTTTAAACATTCTGATTTCAGATATTTATTTTGATTGTTGATTTGATACGAGTATACATCAAAAAATTTGAGGACACTAGTTTAATCCATAACATGACATCAAGCTCATCGCTCTTAATGAACAACACGTGGCGTGGGTTCACAATGAAAATGCCAGACAAAATTATTCTTGAATTAATTATTTGTTCTACAAAGCTGTTGTAAAATATAAGGACTGCAAAGGAATTAAGTACTTACATATTATAAAGAAAATACTTCACGTTTTATTTCAGAAAAGACCGTAGCTTTCATCAATAAACGCAGCTCGAGCGTGTTCTTTGTCAAACTTACCGTCAGATGTAGAAGTGTTTTCGACGTTCCGTGTGAGAACCGAATAAAAAACAAACCGTGAATGTATGATTTTCCCCTCCTGACAATGAGTAGCGAGTGGGAGGACAGCATGCCTTTCTTTGTTTTCGTTGTCAGCTGTAGCTCCATGGGCTTCTGTGATTGGCCAACACACACGCCCTGAACTCCGTATCCAAGACGCTTAAATCAAATCTCCCACTGCAAGCACAACGCAACGCCCACCAAAGTGATCTAGATATGAGCCTTTTTTGTTGTTGTAAATGGATGTAAAATGCCATTCATTAATTCATTTTTGTTTGTTAATGTAATTGATTTATTTTTCATGTCCTAAAAATCGCAAACCTCATAAAAAATTAATGGAATTATTTATCAACTTGTTTCTATATTATAATTAGTATTACATCAAGCTTCTTATTTGGTTTGACCATAGACTGCGATCAGTAAGGGATAGTTCACCCAAAAAGGAAAATTATGTCATTTACTCACCCTCAAGTTGTTCCAAACCCGATCACAAAAGAACATATTTGAAAGAATGTTGGTAATCAAACAGTTAAAATTGCCGGCACCCATATTCTTTTTTCCTATTATGGAAGTCAATGGGTCTCGTCAACTGTTTGATTACCAACATTCTTTAAGATATCTTGTGTATTTATTCAACAGAAGAAAGAACTCAAACAGGTTTAGGAACGACTTGAGGTTGAGTAAATTATCAAATCACTAATCAATTAACACGTTTTCGGGCAATATTTTTGTTACCTAAATAGAAAAGGTGCAATGTTTTTTTTATGATTTTTCTAGTGCTGTAAATTTGAATCTCTTTAAAAATAGATACTCAGGCCTATCAATACTTTTCGACATTTGGCGACATCTAGTGGATAAACTCTGTATTGCGCTCAACGATTACAAAACATTCGGTTTTATACGTCACTGAATGTAGTCAAAATGCGTGTCTGTGCACGTGTAGCGGTGTTGATCTGCGAGGGCTTGCCAGTGTAATGCAGACAGCTTTACATTTGCAGGTAAGAAATAATAGAAAGTGCATTTTTCTTGTTGTTCGGGTCGTATCTACGATTTAACTTCATGTGTAACGCATAATTGACATGCAATGTCTTTGTTGACCCTTTTCACAATCACAAGTAGAAAGTAGACTTGAAATGGCGCGAGGAAGGGCTCAGACGGACTCAACTGCTTCGAAGCAGACGAAGAACGTCAAGAAAAGACCGAATGAAGAACCTCCTCAAACACTCTCCAAAAAGCTAAAGGCCAAACAAAAAGGCGAGACGGCACCAAAAGCCGGTGAGGAAAGCTATGAGTTATGTCTTGGAATGGCATAGTTTGTTTTAAATATGCAAAAAGTTTAAATATTAAATATTCAAAAAGTCACTATCTAGATTTGCTGGTGAAATAAACTGGATTTATGTAATAAAAACAGACACCTACATACAAGCAAGTGTGAAATGGACTGGAGGTCAAAAGAAAGTGGGCCAAACAAGTATCCTTCACTACATTTACAAAAGCACCTTGGGACAGAGCATCCATTCTCAACTGCGCCAGGTGATGACAAGCATATAATGCATATATATACAGTATATGGTGTTATGTATAATATGTGGCCTTTACACTCTGCACTTTATTAAAAAAACTTTGTCAACAACAACAATATTACAGTACTATGTACTACTCTCCCTTGTGTTATAGTGTCTGCAAGAGCCTTTCATACGCTCTCTTGGAGCCTACCAACTCCACCGCACAGCCAGCCCATTTGACCGGAGAGTCACTTGTCTGGAATGGCATCCCACCCATCCCACCACTGTTGCAGTCGGCTCCAAAGGTGGAGACATCATCCTCTGGGATTACGATGTGCTGAATAAGAGAACTTTCATACAGGGGGTGAGATGAAGCTGGATTGTGAAGTGAAGAATGTACAGTTCAAAGTGAAGACAAAAAGTACTTTCCATAGTTATTCGCACATGCAACTTGGTTTGATATTTATCTAATCTAATTACATCCACATTAAGTGTCACTTAAAGGGATAGTTGGACCAAAAATGAAAATTCTGTTATTAACTCACCCTCATGTCGATCCAAACCCGTAAGACTTTCATTCATCTTTGGAACACAAATGAAGATCTTTTTGATGAAATCTGTGAAATCTCCATAGACAGCTACACAACTGACACTTTGAAACTTCAAAAAGTTTATAAAGAGAAACTAATCCTTATGAATTGAGCGGTTTAGAAGCTCAAACATGCTGCGTAACACGAGAATGAACCTCATTGGTTCTCACACGTCGAGCGAACAACTGATGTGTAAGCTGATGATTAACAGATTTTTAATTTTGGGGTGAACCCTTTAAGTGTCCAAATACTTTTGCGGTCCCAGTGAAATCAAATGATTGTGAAATTCACAATGTAGTGTACATATAAATGGTTAAATACGTAAAAATGTAAACATTAATGTGTAAATAGCTAAATAGTGTACTATAAAGAATACAGCAAAAGTTAAGTTCTGCATTTTTATTATTGAACGGATTACAGATGCAGTTTTGGTGACTGCTGAGATTTTCTCCTCTGTTCTTTATCCTAGATGGGTCCCGGAGATGCAATAACAGGCTTGAAGTTTAACCAATTCAATACCAATCAGCTGTTCACCTCATCTATTTGGGGTGCGACCACCCTTCGGGATATCAGTGGATCGGTTATACAAGTCTTTGCCAAAACAGATTCATGGGAGTAAGATCCTTTATTAGCACTTCTTCCATTTGCTTCCAAAGAAACATAGACCACACTCACAGATTTACAGTACTTGAAACTTGCTCGTTTCTTGATTTGAGGCTTGAACTTATACTTTGTCCTGTTGATGGACGCTTCTGTTCATTCAAGTGTGCGACATTAGTTATCGTTAAGTTGACGCATGCTTGTGCTTGAAGTTTCACACAGTTATAGTGAATATATAAAATTCAGTTCCATAGATAAAGTGGGAATTTAATTTATTTGTCTATTTTTTGGTCGTCTGATTGGTATGAAGTTGGATAAACCCTGTGATAAATCAGAGGATTAAATAATTTGATATATATATATTTTGCAGTTAGTTATGATTTAAATGACAGAATACCATGTTAAAGGGTTAGTTCACCCAAAAATGAAAATTCTGTCAGTAATTACTCTGTTTTAACTAACTTTTCAGGGCCGACAAGTTTCAATAACATAGAAGCCTATAGAGGAGTGAGACAGCTCTCAGATTTAATCAAAAATATCTTCATTTGTGTTCTAAAGATGATCGAAAGTCTTACGGGTTAGAAAAACATGAGGGCGAGTAATTTACTAACAGAATTTTCATTTTTGGGTGAACTAACTGTTTAATCGTCTCCATGTCTTGATCATTTATTAAGTTGCTTTAAGAGTAATCCATTAAGTCAACCACATTGTCATTTATAATTTGTAGTATGTATATTTGTTATTGGCGAACATGAAGAACATTATTTGTCTTCACCTACCTCATGTTGTTGTGCTGGTTTAGTTGCTTATATTTTCCACCCGTAGTCCTCCCAGAGCATCGAGTCCTCAGTCGTCATGGCCATACTTAGTTTTAGCAGTTGTATCTACATCTTACAAGCTTGTGTTTTCCTATTGTATCTATGCAGAAGGGAGCTGGTGACTTTATTGGGGGGATGAAGTTCTGCCCCACAGATGTGTCCAAAATCTTTGTCGCTTCTGGTGATGGCACAATCAGCTTGCAGAGTTTTGAGGGCTCTCAAAGTCAGATATTGTCTCGAACCCCAGACTGTGGCCATGACCACCATGATCTTTGGTGAGGACAGTGCTTGTTTGAATTGTTCAGCAATGTTGGGAAATCAAAAATATTTTGTATATCTATTTCATATTTATGTTTAGTATTCCATATTGCTGCAAGAACAACTACCCTTAAACATGCACTATAGATCGGTTGTTGATTTGTCTGCAATTTCAGTCAGTTTTAAAGGTTTGGGTTGAATATCTTTAACAACTCTCCTCCAACTGTCAGTCTTCTATGAGCAAGGGATAGAGAGGAGGTGTAAAACCTCTATTCAGATTCAGCTTCACTTGGAAATACGTCACAACACTGAAGTAAACTCGGTTGCAACTTCTGGTTCATGGGGACTTTAAAAACCATCCATTCCACTGGCATGTATTTTTAGGTATATTACATGAAGATGTACATGTGGATATGGTTTTAATGCCACAAATGTCACTCTCCCAGTTACTGGTACTGCTGTGTGGACGTGTCTGTTAGCCGTCAGATGCTTGCCACTGGGGACAATACCGGAAGACTTCTCCTGCTCGGCATGGATGGACAAGAAGTAAGTGGGGGAAATAACTAAATCAATTCTCATTGCCAAAATCTAGACTAAAGCTGTCTGATAAACATATTTTTGTAAACGTATTAAGATTTTCAAAGAGAAGCTGCACAAAGCCAAAGTGACCCATGCAGAATTTAACCCTCGTTGTGACTGGCTGATGGCAACGTCCTCTGTTGATGCTACGGTCAAGCTGTGGGACCTCCGAAAAATGAAAGACAAAAGCAGTTATATTGCTGAAATGCCTCATGAGAAACCTGTCAATTCTGGTATGAGACCAAATGATCAGAAAATAGAGGAGGGGAACAAGTAATACATAAAAAGCCTCTCAACTGTACAATAGGTTTAAATGCAAAAAAAAAAAAAAATGTGTTCTTTTTTTTTTCAGCATACTTTAATCCGACAGACTGCACCAAGCTCCTTACTACAGACCAGAGGAACCAGATCAGGGTATATTGCTCATATGACTGGACTAAACCTGATCAAATAATTATTCATCCTCATCGGCAGTTCCAGCACTTAACGCCCATCAAGGTCTAAACTTCCTAAAGTCTTAACTGTTTGCCTTTTTCCGAATAGTTTATGTTGTAATCAAGTTTATAGGCATCTTAGTGGTGTCATAGTTTAATTTTGGTCTTTTTTTCTCTCTCAGGCAACCTGGCATCCCATGTATGACCTCATCGTTGCTGGCCGCTACCCAGATGATCAAGTATTAGTCAATGACAAGAGAACTATTGACGTTTATGATGCCAACAGTGGTGATCTTGTGCACCAGCTGAGAGACCCCAATGCTGCTGGTATCATATCTGTAAGCATGTTTTGGTTTTTCCTTTTAAATATTTTTTTGAAATTTTTCATCATAATGTTAATTAGGATTTTTTAATAATATATGCACAATCGTTCAACCATTTAGGGTCAGTAAGACTTTTTTTTTTTTAAAGAAATGAATACTTTTATTCAGCGAGGACGCATTAAATTGATCAAAAATGACCGTAAAGACATTTGAAATATCACACAAGATTTCTATTTTAAATAAATGCTGTTCTTTTGAACTTTCTATTAATAAAATAATCCTGCTCCAAATCAACATATGAGAATCATTTCTAAAGGATCGTGTGACACTGAAGACTAGAAAAACGATGCTGAAAGTTCAGCTTTGCCATCACAGTATTAAATTACATTTTAAAATATAATAAAATAGAAAATGGTTATTTTAAGTTTAAAAAAAAAAACTCTTTTACTGTATTTTTGTATTATAGTATTATAAATACAGTATAATAAATGCAGCCTTCTTTGAAAAATATAAAAACAAAAAAAAAACGTACTGACCCTACACGTATGAATGGTAGTGTATATATACACAATTGTTTAGTGATAACATCGCAGGCACAAATATCTTAATATCTCACGTTTATTTTATTTCAGCTCAACAAATTCAATTCAACTGGGGATGTGCTGGCTTCTGGAATGGGTACAATATTTATCTTATATTCATAGTAGTCAAGAGTGATACATGACTTAATTAATTTGAAAAGTTGTACACTTTAATTACAGGCTATAACATTTTAATCTGGAACCGAGAGGACACACTGAACCGTGTTACTTGGACACAGACAGTGGAGGACAGTGGAGGCAGAGCTGGAACCTCCAGATCTCAGCGCAGCGCCCGACAGCGCGCGAATAGAGATGGAAGAGCAGCTGCTAATGATGCCAAGCTCAAGAAAAAGCTGTCATCATTGTCTTCAACAGAGACCAAGTCAAAGACCAAGAGCAAGACCGAATGCAAGACAACAAAAGTGAAGAAAAAGTGAGAAAGAACATACTGAGATTTAAAGGGATACTCCACCGTTTTTTCATATTAAACTGTTATCCCCTTAACTAAGGCGAGTTGATGCATACCTCTCTCGTCTCACGCACGCACTTAATTGCTCTGGCGCGCGAGACACTTTGATAGCACTTAGCTTAGCCCAGTTCATTCGGATCCAAGCAGAGAAGCGACCAAGCACCTCCACGTTTTCCCTATTTAACTACAGTCACACAAGTAGTGTAACTCGATCAAGAATAGTGACACTAAATAAAACGTTGCGCTTTTCTAAGCGTGTAAAGTGGATAACTATAATTAATAGCGGAATACCACAGTAAGTGCTTGGGAGCACTTCGACTTATCATCAATATCATCACTCATGAAAAATCCTCTCCCTCTCCGGAGTGATGATATTACTGTGCTGAGTCCATAGATAAATATGCACTGCTCCCAAGCACTTGCTGTGGTATTCTGCCATACATTACAGTTATCTACTTTACACACTAGGAGAGGTGCCACATTTTATTTAGTGTCACTACTTGTGTGACTGTATTTAAATAGGGAAAACGTGGAGTTGTTTGGTCGCTTCTCTGTTTGGATTCTAATGAATGAACTGGGCTAAGCTAAGTGCTAACAAAGCAAAACTGAGACGAGAGAAGTATGTATCAACTCGTCTTAGTTAAGGGGATAACATAGTTTAATATGAAAAACAGTGGAGTATCCCTTTAGGATTAGATACAGTACTTTGTCTCAGGTCTCATTTGTTCTGTTCATTTAAATGAATAATTCCTGGAACAACAAAAATTTAAATAAAGACTTTTTTGTTGGTGCTAAAATAATGTATATTCTGTTCAAAATAAACTTTTGTACTTTTACATCAAACACTTGGTTATGTGTCTTTGTGAGTGTATAAAATATGTATTGTATTTGGAGAACCCGAAAAATTAAGCCATGTTTGGAGGTGAAGAAAATTAAAGCAATTCAAACTGACAGATTTTTTAATTCATTACAAACTGTACTTTAATGAATCACATAAGCCAGGTACAAATGATTAGGATTTTACGTGAATAACTGGTATGTTTATTGTTAGTTAAGACTTACGTAGCTGAATGAAAGTAGCATTTGCAAGGCGACCAAGAATATCAGTCCAGGCCTGCTGCTCTGACTCCAGCCTCTGGTTTCGGGCCTGGTAGGCTGAATAGATCGTCCCGAGGATGAGGGTCTCAAACCGGGCCTGAGTGAAAGAGTTGTCTTGTGCTTCCAGCATAACCAGTAACTTCTCCATTGCAGACACAGTCTTTGGAATACTGTCGTTTATAAGAGATAAGAAAGCTCGCCCTTGTCGCATAGATGCTATTTCTTGATCCCGCATGACAACATTATTGTCACCATCAATCTCCAGTCCTCTCCATAAGAACTAGGATTTAAAAAAGGGGGAATGTAACATATATTAGTGCTGTCAAATTGCATCAAACATAAAAGTTTTTAATTATAATATATATATATATGTGTGTGTGTGTGTGTGTGTGTTTGTGTATATACTGTATATACAAAAAGGATATATATATATATATATACACACACACACATGACCTCATCATCTGTATATAATTTGCGATGCAAGGGAAATATCTCAGTGCTTCTGTTTGTTCACTTAAATTAGAAACTTGATATCATGTTCCCCTACACTAGTACACAAGTTTTTTTTTTCCCCTTTTTCCTCTTATTTTATTTATTTATTTATTTATTTTTTAATTAACAATTTACAAGCAAGTGCAATGTTTCTTGGAGTTTGAAGGAACAAATGCAAAGTTTCTTTGGGGAATCCAAAAGCATTGAAATATCAATTACATTGATTTTTTTTTTCCATCACATGTCCTCTTAGTAGCACCATAGATTTAGTGTGAGAATTTTTTTAATATCTTTATTAGAATTTTTAATACAGTGTCATTAAAAACTAAATGACACTGTATAATATTTGTAGACCAATTAGAAATGTTTAAAATATTTTTAGATGAACAATATAATATAATTCTGCTTCTGTAAACTAATAAAGGCTATTAAACGTTATATTAACAAATGGTCATGATCACGTCAGGGTGTATTTAAGAGGAATTTTATTGTATCATTCCAGTGACATAAATTAAATGAATTGTTACTTTGAGTGCTTTGTGGAATGTATGGCTATATTTTCTCACCTCAAACATCAGGTTAGCATCACTTCCAGATCTGATAAACCCCTGAGGTGCCAGTCCTCCGTGCAGAACCGCAGAAACATCTGCATGACAGCACACACAGACTCACGACTTGGAAATCATTAAGCCTGAACTGTACGAAAACAAGTCTGAGCTGAATAATTATTGATCAATGGTATGCGAGCAAGGGCATGACAAAGTTGAGTAGACTATAATATAAAACAAAAGATTTCAAAAGTGCACGGGGAATTTACAGAAGGAAAATATTCGAATCTGACGTCATGATTGGCACAAATCATGTCCAGCATGCCACAGACTGCCAGTGCCACATTCCCAACAGCACTACAACCCAATAGCGTAATAGTACAATATCATAAGCAAAACCAAATGCATATGTGAACAAAATAAAACTGTAATAGCAAAAAGATGTACTGTACATAATTATGTCGTCTCGTCAAGTTCAAAAGTCATTACCTGAGTTATTCCAGGGCTCCCTGAAGCCAATGAGAAACAGGACAACACATACCAACAACATTGCCACAGAAATATAATTTCACTTGATTCACGCAGATTTCAGTCGTCATCCGTTTTGCACCGCAAAAAAGGGAAAAGGATTCCTAGTGCGTCGCATTTTTCCACCTGCGGAAAAAGACAAGTTGAGCCAAACTGGGAGAGAGAAAGAATGTGACTAAAAGTCAGTGACTTATCTATTTCCTTTTTATAGTAATTTGTAAATAGCCTATAGATGGTGTTATACAAGTAATCTGAATTAAAAGCTAAGTTACTTGAGCATACTTTTTAAAATAAATACATTGTTTGTTTTTCGAAATGCAGTGCAATGACAGTCCTCCAACACACCGGGGCAGCAGAGAGTCACGTAAACAAGCGGTGACGTCAATACGAAGAAATATGCTGTTTACTTCCTTGGGCTGACTTTTACAAGCAGTCTTCTGGTATGGCAAAGATTTAACACATGCTAACATTTATAAATAATATTGTCTGAATGCGCATGTGCTGTCTGCAGACTTACATATGACAAAAAATTGTGGACTCATTAGTATGGTAGAACTAAGTTAAATAGACTCTAATCTTGATGGTTTATGTTAGCATTAGCTACATAGCTGGCCAGTTTACCATAGATGGACATAATTTGGCTGACAAATTGCTCAGACGCTTATTTGAACACGAAGCCGGTGAGTTTCATGCCTTGAACCGGTGAAAACGTTTACATGCAAAATCACCTATGAACGTTTTCTTAATCTGCTAAAATTGTGTTTTTGTCAATTGAAAGCAGCAGATTCCTTCATAAAGAATGCTACATACGGCTTTACATCAATCTGTCAGTTATTTTAGAGCCAAGTGAGCGTTAAATCCCAAGGCAAATCCCAGCCTGCCAGTTAGCTACACGAATGCCACCATCTGAGAGACAGCTGACTCAGTAAGTCATTATCAAGTATTCAGGTGAAGCTGCTTCAGATTTAAGGTGCCATGGAGTCTGGTGAGGATGGAGGCTACAGTGTTGGAGGTCCATCGGGGGATGAAAACTACTTCCAGGGCTACACCTTTACCGATCGTTCCCATTCCAGCCGTGTTGTGAAGAGCATCATGGACTTGTGTCTGGAGGATGGTCTGTTTGCAGATGTTATCGTCACTGTGGACAGCAAAGAGTTCCAGCTTCACCGCCTGGTGCTCTCAGCACAAAGCAGCTTCTTCAGGTCCATGTTCACCTCTAACCTTAGAGAAGCTTATGATCGTAACATTGAGCTGAAGGACGTCAGTGCACCTGTCTTCCAGTCGCTGGTGGACTACATCTACCACGGAACAATAAAACTAAGGGTTGAAGACCTGCAGGACACCTATGAAATGGCTGATATGTATCAGCTTACTGCCCTCTTTGAGGAGTGCTCTCGCTTCCTATCACGAACTGTGGTTGTTAAGAATTGCCTGCAGGTGAAACCTTCACTTTTGATTTATAGCACACACAAAAATGCTTTGATAAAGGTCAGCCGAATCAGTAGAAAACTGTTGATTGCTCTTCTTTTTTTTTTTTGTTCAGATTATGTGGTTGGCGGACAGACACAGTGACCAAGAGTTGTATACGGCTGCCAAGCACTGTGCAAAGATTCACCTGGTTCAGCTGCACCAGACGGAGGAGTTCCTGAACATGCCTTTGTGCCTTCTCATAGACATCATTAAAGGTGAATGAATAGCGCAAACAGCAAATTGGTTTCACTTCATATGAGAGATTGTGACTCTAAAGAGTCAGAGATCATGTTAATTTGTGTCTGTAATTTGCAGATGGGGTGCCAAGCTCACAAAATCCAACTGCAGCTATTGATACTTGGATAAATCACAACAAAGTCGAACGAGAGGAGTATTCTGATATGCTTTTAGACAGCCTAAAGGTTAGTGATGATTCTGAGTTGGGAAGAAAAATACACATTTCACAGTATTTTGAACAGTATTTTATCTCACAATAATTTAATATGCTTCAGATGAATATATATTCAGGGCTCAACTGAGTTTTATTTATTTGTAATGCTGTGCTGGCCCATCAGGTCAGTAGTTAACATTGCTACTCGCCTTCCAAAAAAATTGCACTGGCCCTAACATAAATTATAAATTAAATTTAAATTGATTTTGTTTATATTTGCATTACATTATTTTAAATGGAGATTATTTGCATCTGTAATAAATGCACACAATTATATATATATATATATATATATATATATATATATATATTATAAATTCAAGTTCAAGTAAAAAGCACATTTTAAAAACAACAAATGCTGCAAATAAAACCCATATACATCTTAAACAACATAATAGGCTATGGAGAAAAAAATATATCTTCGACCTAGATTTAAATATGGCCCGTGTGGAGGACGATCTAATAAAAAACAGAAGTGCATTCCACAACCTGGGGGCCGCAACTACAAATGCCCGACCACATTTGGTTTTCAAGCAGGAATGAAGAACAGACAGAAGTAACTGATTTAAAAAAAAAAAATAGAGATCTACAAAAGGAGATCAGCCATGTACTGTGGGGATAAACTGTACAGCAGAACATTACATTTAATATAGCTAACTGGTAGCCAATGTAGGGAAGCTGCTGCTGCATTTTGGACTAATTGCAGGTGTGAAAAGTAGACCAAGACAAACCCACATATAAATTATGTGGATTGCAGTAATCCAACTGGGATGTGATAAATGCATGAATTACATTAGATATCACAGGTTTTTTAGGCCCAAATATTTTTTGTCACATACAGCAAAAATCTCCTCACTATCCGCTAGCTCCCTGTCCCCTAAACACACTGTAAAAAAAACACGGTCTATGCAGAAAACCCAGGCTCCACAAATGGCAACAAAAACAAAGTGCAGCAACCCACTCCACGAAACATAACAAACTGTTCCAGCCAATAGCTGACAAGAAGGCCCTGGGGGTGGGGTTTCGGGGGTCAGTGCAGATGAGGAGGAGGGAGGGTCTATCTAGCCTCCGTTTTGTTCGAAAATACTTTAAACGTCAACAAGATGTCACGTCACCCGACATCGCTTAGAGCAGTGTTTCCCAACCCTGTTCCTGGCGGCACACCAACACCGCACGTATTCTTTGTCTCCCTAATCAAACACACCTGATTCAACTCATCAGCTCAATAACCCATCTGATTATGAGCTGATGAGTTGAAACAGGTGTGTTTGATAAGGGAGAATACGCGCAGTGTTGGTGTGCCGCCAGGAACAGGGTTGGGAAACACTGGCTTAGAGCACCTTTAAGGAAATCTTCAGACATCCAAAATGTAACTTCCTCAAGAAAAGAGATGAGATTACTGGAACAACAATCATTTAACCTGACAAGTAGGTAAAGTTGTGTATGGTCAGCATAACAGTGAGCTACACTGTACAGAGGAAAAAAGCAGAGGACCCAAAATGGAGCCTTGTGGGATGCCTCCTGTAATAGAGTAGAAGAGTGGTAATCAGTACTGATAGAAAAAGTTCTGTCTTTAAGATATGAGGAAAGATAACTTAATGCAGCCCCCTCTATTATTTAAAGCTGTAAATTATGCAGTCATTGTAATCATGAAAGAAACTTTCTAAGCACTTTTGCAGGAAAAAAAATTTCACGTTTTAATACATTTTCCCATTTATCCTATCAGAAGTCATTCTTGCAATGCCCAGAAAACCTAATCTGTTTCTGACCAGTTTAAAATGTTTACATGCAGAATTCATCACAAACTGTTGTTTATTAGTATTGTATTGTTCGCATGCTCATTGTTGGCTTTGTTGCAATTTAGGAGATTGGTGAAAAAGTGCACATATACCTAATTGGGAAAGAAGACACACGCACACACTCTTTGGCAGTGTCACTTCATTGTGACGAGGATGATGCCATCAGTGTGAGCGGCCAGAACAGCCTGTGTCACCAGATCACGGCCGCCTGCAAGCACGGGGCCGATCTGTATGTTGTGGGGGGCTCCATTCCACGTCGCATGTGGAAATGCAACATGCACACTATGGACTGGGAGCGCTGCGCCCCTCTCCCCCGGGACCGTCTCCACCACACGTTGGTGTCTGTGTCTACAGAAGATGCCATATACTCGCTGGGAGGCAAGACCCTTCAGGACACTCTCTCTAATGCTGTCATTTGCTATACAGTACAGGACAACATATGGAAAGAGACCACTCAACTAGACACAGCCGTGTCGGGTGCAGCCGGAGTCAATTTGGGCGGCACCATTTACCTTTTGGGTGGGGAGGAAAATGACATGGACTTCTTTACCAAACCGTCTCGCCTTATCCAGTGCTTCGACACAGCCACACAGAGGTGTCAAACCAAGCCCTACATGCTGCCTTTTGCCGGATGCATGCATGCCACCGCCCATAAGGACCTTATATTTGTGGTGGCAGAGGGCGACTCTCTGGTGTGCTACAACCCACTGCTGGACAGCTTCACTCGGCTGCGCTTCCCTGAAGTGTGGAGCTGCGTGCCATCTTTATGGAAAGTGGCTAGCTGCAATGGCTGCATTTATGTTTTTAGGGATAAATGCAAGAAAGGTGACGCAAACACGTTGAAATTGAACCCTGCCACATCGGTGGTCTCAGTAATCAAAGGAATCAAAATCCTCCTTACAAACTGGCAGTTTGTTTTGGCCTGAAATGTTCTACATAATGCATAGGACCATGATACAAATGTACTATGGTGATTTAATAGACGCAGTCGTGTAGAAGTTGTTACTGTGATGCAAAGGTACAAGCTTTATAATGTCATGTGAAGTGTTACACTGTAGGACACAGTAAAGTGTTAATGAAGGCCAAATGTTATGTGTAATGTTTGTCAGTATCTGCAGTGTCATTTGTAGTTGACCATCGTAGTTTGCCAAGCTTCAGTTTAGTTTCATCTGGATTCAAAAGGAATTCATTTATATTTTAATTTCTTTTTAAACCATTAACATTCCACAACACCACAAGAACTAACTTGTACACATCATTTACTGATTAAGAGAATATATATTCAGTGTTTAGCTGTGAATATTGGATATCATAACTACCTTAAATAAGTGAAAGTGTGCAATATATGGTGTTTTTCAAATGTCTGCCAAGATACGCTGAATGTAATGAAATTTTCTCAGATTAACCATGCAAAACATCCTAAAAGATGTTGACAAAAGTATTTAGTACCACTGTCAAGGGGCATTAAATAATGTTCATATTAAGTTTGCCACTTATCTCTCTCTTACTGATGATTTTTCAATTGTCACCTCAGATTCCCCTTTCTCAGTGGTTTATGACTGGACAGGAACTTTATATTCGTTTTCCACCTTAAGCTGGTTTGCAAAATGTATGCTACGACTGTTTATATTTTACTTTACATAGTATATGAAGATGCAGTCCATTTTACATCTGCCAGAGACATAGCATATTCTTGTTGACCTTTTGGAACTAGTTCAAAATATTGTTACTAAAAATTACTGAATTTGAACTTTTGAAAAGCTGTGTCTTGTCAAATTTGTACTTTGGGTCAACTTTCCTCTTGAATTAAAAAGCAAAAATGAATTATGCGTTTTGTTTCATGTTTCCCCCTTTGCCAAACAGTTATGATAAACCCACCCTTCATGTTGTTCCAAACCTGCATGACTTTTTCTTCTGCAGAACACAAAAGTAGATATTTTGAAGAATGTCTTAGGCTATATTCATACTGCCAGCAAAAATCCAATTTTTTGCACGACCAGGTGGGTTTTTGAAAGTCTGGACAGCAACAAAACACATTTGTCTCAGTCTGGATGCTCTGGCTGCTCAAATTGGATTTCAAACTGTCTCGCGATATTACAAACGATAACAGATTTCTAACAGACAGCTAGAGTTCCAGCGAGGAGAAGCGTCGACAAATAAGTTGACAAATCTAAGTTGACCACTTGCAATTAAAAGTGCAGACATTATCCCTGAAAAGATCTGATTTGCCTGCAGTCTGAACATAGCCTTAGTGTTTTTTGGCCATACAGTGAAAGTCAGTTGGGTCCAATGTGGTTTTAAAATATTCTTCAAAATATATTTTGTTTCACATAAGAAAGGAAGTCATACGGGTTTGTTTCAACGTGAGGTTGAGTATTAATGATGACAGTTTTTTCCTTTTTGGGTGAAATCTCTTTAAAGAGAAGTTAACACCAAAAGTTAAGAATAAATAGTTTTTTTTCCCCTTCACCCTTGATTTCAGACTTGAAGGAGTAGATCACTTTAAAAAAAAACTTTTGCTGATAATTTACTCACCCCCATGTCATCCAAGATGTCCGTGTCTTTCTTTTTTCAGTCGAAAAGAAATTAAGGTTTTTGATGAAAACATTCCAGGATTTTCTCCATATAATGGACTTCATTGGGAACCAAACGGTTCAAGGTCCAAATGAGAGACTCAGTGCAGCTTCAAAGGGCTTTAAACAACACCAGATGATGAATAAGGGTCTTACCTAACGAAAAGATCGGTCATTTAAAAAATAAATAAAAAATTGTAAGTTTTATAAGCTCAAATGCTCGCCTTGCTCTGTTCTGTGATGAGCACTCGTGACTCTCCTGTTCAAACTTGTTCATCAAAATGAACAAATCTTTTTTCAAGTCATGACTCGAAGGGTCCTAGATAAGACCCTTATTCATCGCCTAGTGTCGTTTAAAGCCCTTTGAAGCTGCACTGAAACTCTCATTTGGACCTTGAACCATTTGGTTCCCAATGAAATCCATTATATGGAGAAAATCCTGGAATGTTTTCAACACAAACCTTAATTTCTTTTTAACTGAAGAAAGAAAGACATGGACATCTTAGATGACATGGGGGTGACATTTATCCTTTAATAAAAAATTTGTGTTGCTGTGCTTTCTAACTAACCCAAAACGGGCTAAAAGAGTGTGTTAGCATTTCAGGAATTGTGATATAACAAAGACGTGACTTACAACCACCAGACGTTTTCTTAAGTAACATAAGCCATCTCGTGAATGGCAAGGTATTTGTATCCGTGAAGCTGGGTGTAAAAGGGGAAGGAAGGGCCGAAGAAAGCCAGGTTCAGTTGAGAACCCGACAATTCGATCCCATTGATGTGTTTCAAGAAGCAGCGGTACTGTAACTCAAGACAAATACCATGTCAGACTTTGTGAACTATTCTAAGCATCAGTTGCTGACACCAAGGCTGGGGGGCTGGGAGGTGGCACAGCAAGCGGCTTAACAAGGCCCACCCACAGGAACTGCCACTCCATGAGAAGCGTTTGACTCGCTCTGCTTCACCGTTGTGAAATATCTGGCTGTTTTTAGACTTCACATGATGTCCAAACCTCTGCTGTAGCTCGGGACTAAATGTTTTTTTCTTCTTAAGGGTCATTCATAGCTGTGGTGCTTAAGCCTCTTAACGTTGTGAGGATGTGGAGGTGAACAGCACTACTCTTGGTATGAAGATCGGCGGATAAGTGTCTTTTGTGACCTTGGATCTTTTCAGAGGCTGAAGCTGGATTCCACCAGGGACACATGGTCCGGAGTGACAAGGCCATCTGCTGTAGCGCCAGCACTGCAGTGGGAGGGAAGAGAAAGATGAAGGAGTGGTTTGTAGGGGGTGAGGGTACAGAGAATTCCTCCTCCTCGGGTGTGGAAGGACTAGATATTCTGGGAGATCATTGCCAGAACCTTGGATTGAGACTTATTTCTTTAGCGTCACATTTTTTCCTTCAACTTTCTTTCCCAGCTTTCCAAAGGGACTGAGGTTGGGTCTTTAACGTCAAAAGAAATCATGATTTTGTGATTCGTATGACGTGTTTTCAAAGTGATGAGCAATGAGGATCTGTACTCTGAATACCTCGCAAGCCGTGGATCCAGTTTCTTCAACATCTCTTTGCACCCAAAGCTGAGAGTTGTGGATCAGCGAAGCAAGTGGGTGCAGATTTCTGGGGTGGAATTTAACAGGTGAAAGACAAAAAAAATTGCACGCTTGCACTTCCCCAGACGGCCGAAGAGCCAAACGGATGGTTATTTTTATGAGGGACTTTGTAGCAGAAATGGGTCAGGACCAAACCAAACAGCAGATCGAGAAGGGACTGAAGCTCTACCAGTCGAACGACACGGAAAAGGCTTTATATGTCTGGATGAAAGTGTTAAGGAAGACATCTGATCCTGGGGGAAAATTTCGAGTTTTAGGGTGTCTGATCACAGCCCATTCGGAAATGGGGAAATACAAAGAGATGCTACAGGTAAGAGCTGCTTATTCAACAGCCCTCCTGCTCTCTTGCCTATTCTGTTTGTCAAAAAAGTTCATTCCCTCTACTGCCATGTGGATTAAACTGTTAAATGGATCATTCATTTAAACGGACCTCTTGTCCATAATGAAAGTCAAATGGGATCGAAACAACATTGGACTTTCACTATATGGTCAAAAAGCACTTTTTTTTAAGAAATAATGCTATACATGTTTGGAACAACATGGAACTATCCCTTTAAATGGACTGCATGGTAAATTATGGATAAATACACACAATGAAGCATGATTTGCACCAATTTGCTTGCAACCTTTAGACAGATTTCTGACTGAATGCGAATAATGCGAAACATGCATATAATATATAACTTCCATAGTTACATGGAAGGTAAGGAGAGCCACATGCAATTTGATCCTCAGCACCGAGCATCTTGTTGACATAAACCTCCTTGCAGAGGGAGCTGCTTTCCCAAGTTCAGCATAGACTTAATTTGCACTATGATGTGTTTAAACAACTGTAGCTCTCACATAATAATAATAAGAAGAAGAAAGTATGCTTGATATCTGTTGTGGTTGACCATTTTAACAGTAGTACATTGTCTTGCGTCATATTTGGTTGCAATTTTCCCTATGGTGGAAACACCTGAACAGGCTTTTATTTTCAATGCTAACTGTATTTATGAACTATCTTCTGTTGTTTTCTGTCCCCATCGAACAGTACTCCCTAGCTCAGATAAACACAGCCAGAGAGATGGAGGACCCTGACTACCTGACGGAGGGCTACCTGAACCTGGCACGCAGCAACGAGAAGCTTTGTGAATTCCAGAAGACAGTCTCATATTGTGAGACCTGCTTAAACATGCAGGGCACCACTGTTAGCCTACAGCTCAATGGGCAAGTGTGTTTGAGCATGGGCAATGCCTACCTGGGCATTAGCGTTTTCCAAAAGGCCTTAGTGAGCTATGAGAAGGCCCTGCGATACGCTCACAACAACGATGACAAGATGCTGGAGTGCAGGGTCTGCTGCAGTTTGGGTAACTTCTACATCCAGCTTAAGGTATCAATATTGTATCACTCTTTTTTGCTTATGACACACCTACTCGTTTTATTACACATTTTATTTAATAGTAAAGTCATCAAATGTTTAGATAGATTATGGAGATTATGGAGTCAACCAAAATAATTATATACATCTATAAAATGTCAACTCTTTTCTAGATCCAGTACATACATTATTTTAACTTAATGAGGTGCATTCTGGGATGCTTTTAAACAGTATTGAGGAAGTTTCCAAAAATTCTGGATACTTGTTGGCTACTTTTCCTTCACTATCCGCTATTAAATCTATTTCAATAAATAGTAACACTTTATTTTAAAGTGACATACTTACACGTTACTGCGTGTACTTAGAATGGAATACCCTAAACAAACCCTAACGGTAACTCTATAGCATTTAATTTTAATTGGTACTTATTTGAATAAGTACAATGTAACTATTAATTCATTCAATGAACATAAGTTCATTAAAATATGTCCAAATGTTTGACTAGTGGTGTATACAACTGTTCAAAATTGTATTGAATGTTTTTGAAAAAGGTTTCTTATGCTCAACAAGGCTGCAATTATTTGACCAAAAATACAGTAGAACAGTAATACTGTGACATATTACAATTTAACAATTTATTTTTGATGCATAACCTTTTTAAAATGCATGAATTTTCAGCATCATTACTACAGTGTCACATGATCCCTCAGAAATCATTCTAATATGCATTTCCTTATATAATCAATGTTGAAAACAGTTGAGCTGCTTAATATAAATAGAAAGTTCAAAAGAACCACATTTATTCAAAATAGAAATATTTTACAACAATGTAAAGGTCTTTAATTCTTACTGAATAAAAGTTTTTTTTTTTTCAACAAAAAGAACAAATCTTTCTGACCACAAACCTTTTGAACAGTAGTGTATGTATTAACCGATAATAATTGTCTACCAGCATCACTGCACACTGTATTTGTTTCAGGCCTACAGTTATTTAAGCTCAATTTCACTCACTGAGAGAGTAGTACAAAGTTATTACATCACTAACAAAGTGCCTACGTGTTATGTACAATGTATCCAATTGCAAGTCAGACAAAGCAGGTTTGGCTAGATATAGGCATTCGTACTCACCTTGACACCAGAGATTTGAAGAGAGTAAATCCCCTGGATTGCCAGGAAGGCCTGTTGTAATATGTATGTGATGAAGAGGCATGAAGAGAATGTAAGCGCTACTAGGAGCAATAAGATGGCTCCTTTTAGCTGTGGCGGAGTTCTGTCTCCCTGCACAAGAGAAATGATCAGCTTTGAGTGGTTGGTCATTTTCATTTACATCTCTCTGATAATCATATTCATTTAAATGTATTCATGTATTGAATTAAATATTTCCAAGTCAGTAATTTGCAGAATTGTATTTATTTGGTTGGTGTTTTTAATCGACATTCTTTTAAACGTTATAAGTTTACATAAAGATGCAAGTTCCTAATAATTATGTACAGCTTGTTTTATGCTAATAATCTGCATATTTTGTGCTGTTGCAGGATTATGAGAAAGCGCTCTTCTTTCCTTGCAAAGCAGCTGAACTGGTGAATGACTATGGCAAAGGATGGAGTCTAAAGTACCGTGCCATGAGCCAGTACCATATGTCAGTGGCCTACAGGAAGCTGATGCGTTTACCAGATGCAATGGAATGCTGTGAGGTACACACATTTAATATGATTTTATGAGACGTCAACCGTTTTTAAAATAATAATGTATGTGTATGACTTTTTATCACATACACTGAAGAAATTATTGTAATTTCAACTGTAAAAGACTGTAACAAATGTGACAGTAAAAAACAGTTAATTGGTTTACAGTAGGCTAAGTTCCCCTTCTATATATGGGTAAAAACTATAACAGATTTTATATTTGATCATTTTACAGTAAAATACTGTTTTAAATGGTAAAATGTACAGGTTTCTCTGTAAATATATTTACATTTTTACTGTATTATCTACAGAATTGTTCTGTCAACCACAGCTGCCAGTTCTATTCTGTAAAAACGACATGATTTTTTTTTTTATTATTAAATAAATTTGGCCATTTTGCTCTACAAAAATATACATTTACTATTTATGTTACTATTTATGTTTAATGGTCACCTGGACGAATTTAAGGGAGCATCTTAATCCCCCAGGAAGCCGCATGTTGGTCATATTTAACAGTCCCCTTGGCGTAACCCTGGCCTCTGAATTTCTGCAGCTCGGGCCACGACACAACTGACAGGTGCAGCTATTTGTAGGGCTAGTTGTGCCAGCCCTCTTTACTATGGCTGATAAAAATACGCCAGTCGAGAGTCCATCCTGCTGAGGTGCCGTCTGAGAGGAGTGTTAATGAAGAGCAGAGCTTACACTTAGCCCCTCGCTAATGACGAGGAGAGAAATATCACAGGCGGTCATTGCTTTGGACTGTCAGCGTCACAATGTGCCGACCGCAGCAGTGATTTACACACGTCGAACAGTGCAGGGGATTAATGCAGGCTATGTGCCAGCTGTCACGCAACTTTTCGATTAGGGGTCTGTTGGTACATAAGCTACTGGTCAAAAAGTTTGGAATAAATACGTTTTTTAAAGGAGTAGTTCACTTTTAAAAAAAACTTTTGCTGATAATTTACTCACCCCCATGTCATCCAAGATGTCCATGTCATTCTTTCTTCAGTCGAAAAGAAATTAAGGTTTTTGATGAAAACATTCCAGGATTTTTTTCCATATACTGTAATGCACTTTACTGGTCACCAAACAGTTCAAGGTCCAAAAGACTTTCAGTGCAAACTGTTCAAAGGGCTTTAAACGATTCCAGACAATGAATTAGGGTCTTATCAAGCGAAACGATCGCTCATTTAAAAAAAAAAAACAAAGTTTAAGTTTTATAAGCTCAAATGGTCGCCTTGCTCTGTTCTGTGATGCACGTTCGTGACTCTGTTCAAACTCGTTCATCAAAATGAACAAATCTTTTCCTGAGTCAATTCGTTCATTTGGTTCGTTGAATGAACCAAATGACACGAAAAAAGATTCATTTTGATAAACAAGTTCGAACAGGCATCACAGAACAGAGCAAGGCGAGCATTTGAGCTTATAAAACTTAAACGTTGTTATTATTTTTTTTAAATGGCTTGATAAGACCCTTATTCATAATCTGGAATTGTTTAAAGCCCTTTGAACAGTTTGCACTGAAACTGTCTTTAGGACCTTGAACCGTTTGGTGACCAGTAAAGTGCATTTTATGGAGAAAAAACCGGGAATGTTTTCATCAAAAACCTAAAGAAAGAAAGACATGGACATCTTGGATGACATGGGGGTGAGTAAATTATCAGCAAACGTTTTTTTTTTTTTAAAAAAGTGAACTACTTTAATGTTTTTTAAATAATGTTCACCAAGGCTGCATTTGTTTGAGCAAAAATACAGTACAAACTGTTTAAATTATTGTGAAATATTATTACATTTTAAAATAACTGTATGCAGTTCTATAAATGAGGCCCAACGTGATTACATAATTTCTAGGTAATTATGTGAAGTCAAAGAACATCTGGTGGTGGGACATTTGAGCCACCTGGGGGAATGTCTGAGGGAGGATATATTGTCTGTCGTAAATGGAAGTGACAGTAAGATTAAGTTTATGTTCACTTAAACAAACTGTATATTGTATATGCACAATACGTGCAACATGGAGCTGTTCTTATTTTAAGTTTAAGAAAATGTAAAGGAAATATACTTGGCGAAAGCATAAAACATAAAAACATAAAACCTACATGTTACAGTTTAGTATTTGTGAATCTGGAGAACAACATGCATACATGATTCCTTAATATTGACATAAAACCGTATGTCTCTCAGGAATCTATGAAGATCGCTTTGCAGCATGGAGATCGACCTCTTCAGGCATTGTGTCTGCTTAACTTTGCTGATATTCATCGCTGTCAGAAAGATGTTGATGTAAGTTTAATGCAAACCACAAAATCTTTTTTTCTATTTTAATCAAGCTTTCTTTCCAGAATATTGCTAGCATTTCTGTTTTTTATCCACATTGGATCATTGCTAGGGATCCTACTGAAGATTCCTAGAGCCTTTGGCACATAATTTTTATACAAACAATTTCCTCACTGTCCCACTTACACATTAATAGAGTATTATGCTTTGTGGTGATGACTAAAATCATAATTGTCATTTATTTCCTTTTATATTACAATCTTGATTAGTAAATGTTGATCAATGGAATTTACATTAATATACAACATTCTTGCAACTTGCTACAATGTTCAGCGCTGCAAATAATTTAAAATATAATAATTTGAAAATAATATTTCCACAATTACCTAATTACAGCACCCATATTTACGAATGTTTTTCGATAATTCCTGCATTCCTATTGTAGAATACTCAACCAAGCCTGACACAGTTGCTTTTCTTTATGCGCTCACCTTCAATACAGAAAGCATTCCCTCGCTATGAGTCCTCCATGTGCATAATGTCAGAGATTGGCAACCGCCTTGGACAAGCATCCATCTACGTCGGAGTGGGAAAGTGCTGGATTCTGCAGAAGGAATACGATAAGGTCATGAAACTGATTTGATTGTGTAGTTGTCATTATAGATGTCCTTTATCTGGAATATCTCAAATTATCGTCTTTATAATTTTATGACTTTCACAGGCTCTGGACTCAATGCAAAGAGCACATGATCTGGCTGAGGCGATTGGAAACAAGGTGATGCATCTATTTTAGATGACATACCATTAAATCCAAGATAAAACATGCTCTGTGTTAGCATTAGCATAGCATTTGGCCATCTATCTCTGTGTTCTGTTCCAGCTGTGTATCCTGAAGGTGCACAGCCTGTGTGAAGGCATCTACCGCAGTAAAGAGCAGCAGGATGAGCTGAGAGAGCAGGTGGTGAAGTTCCTGCAGTGTGTAGAAGAGCTGGAGCTCTACTGTGGCATGTGTGGGGAGTCTATCGGAGAGAGGAACCAGCAGCTGCAGGCCTTGCCCTGCTCTCACATTTTCCACCTCAAGTAGGTATTGTTTATTACTCTCTGTAGCCACCAGCGATGAGGAACTACGCAACTCACTATGTTCTGTTCACAGGTGTCTGCAGACAAATGGGACAAAGGGCTGCCCAAAATGTCACCGTTCATCAATGAAGCTAGGTTTTGTATGAAATCGCACTGCTGCCTTGAACAAAACGGCTGAATCCCATTACAGTGACTCACCTGGGAGCAAACGTTCCAGGGCCTTCTTCCAGGGAGCGTTCTAGCTGGACAAAAGGAGGTTTTCCAAGTGTTTCCATCCTGCCTTTATGGCAACTGGGAATAATGTGGAACTGAAAGGACAAGGATTAATAGTTCAGCGCAGAGATGTCATGAATGACAGCAGATATTTCTTTGAACTGACCTTATAATGCTGCATCGGTGTAAGACAGAAACATTAAAAACAGCCTTTGATTGGACCATGCAGCATTGCTGTCCTCTTAGTGAGGATATTCATCAATGAGGTGAGAGATTTACATATCACACGGTTTCATAGTGGACATTATTGCTATATTATCACAGCTGAACAGAACAAAAACATCTACCAAATTTCAAGCCCTAATCAGTTTTTTTTTTCAGATTGTGTAAATAATTCATGAATGCTATGATCAATGTCATTTGAAAAAGATAAAGGTGTTCTCTTTCGGCAGTGTAAGACATGCTGTTCTGTTTTAGTTTGTTTGAGGTTTGCTTTGAGCTTGTAGTAAACTCAAAAGTCTCTAACTGCCTCCTGAAACTGTAACAGGGGCGTGTGTTCAACTTATTAACTTGACCAATTATGCATTTTTGTTAACTATTTATATGACAATTATTTATGTCTTTTAATAAGAACCTTACACAGTACACACACGATTACTGTTTCTGATAATATTTGGATGAATTTTACTTTGAATCAACAAAATGTGAAAAGTAGTCTATATTCTTTATTCAATGCATTTATAGGATGTGTGGTTAGAAGTTGTTTTCTAACATAAACTTATGTATCATCTCCATTATTTTCTATAACCTTCAGAGATTCACAAAAGAGAATGTGCTCTGTATTGAATCAACAAATGGTTTACAACTATTTCCGACCTGTATAGCACTAAAGTGTTTAATAACATAATCAGAATGGCCCAAAATTAGCATTTATTCTTATTTCTTTCTGGGCACTTTAATTGAATGAATAAATAAGCAAATTGTTATATATGCCCAAACATTACAAGCGGTATACATACTGATAGATTTTTTTTATATGAACAATCTACTTGATCATCTGAAAAATGTTCATATTATTTTGCTAATCATTAACTGTCTATTCTCTAACCTTTCATAAGTGCTAAATTGATTTCTCATCATTATACATTGTGCGGATTTCAAATCTGAGGTCATATGCATGTTTCTTTTGACTACTATTTTTAAAAGTGGACCTTCTTTCTTTGCCCCTGTAATATTTCCATAACTAAATAATACAAATAAATACATCCCAAGACATATACACTCACCTAAAGGATTATTAGGAGCACCGGTTCAATTTCTCATTAATGCAATTATCTAATCAACCAATCACATGGCAGTTGCTTCAATGTATTTAGGAGTGTGGTCCTGGTGAAGACAATCTCCTGAACTCCAAACTGAATGTCAGAATGGGAAAGAAAGGTGATTTAAGCAATTTTGAGCGTGGCATGGTTGTTGGTGCCAGACGGGCCGGTCTGAGTATTTCACAATCTGCTCAGTTACTGGGATTTTCACGGACAACCATTTCTAGGGTTTACAAAGAATGGTGTGAAAAGTGAAAAACAGCCAGTATGCAGCAGTCCTGTGAGCGAAAATGCCTAGTAAATGCTAGAGGTCAGAGGAGAATGGGCCGACTGATCCAAGCTGATGGAAGAGCAACTTTGACTGAAATAACCACTCGTTACAACCGAGGTATGCAGCAAAGCATTTGTGAAGCCACAACACGCACAGCCTTGAGGCGGATGGGCTACAACAGCAGAAGACCCCACCGGGTACCACTCATCTCCACTACAAATAGGAAAAAGAGGCTACAATTGGCAAGAGCTCACCAAAATTGGACAGTTGAAGACTGGAAAAATTTTGCCCGGTCTGATGAGTCTCGATTTCTGTTGAGACATTCAGATGGTAGAGTCAGAATTTGGCGTAAACAGAATGAGAACATGGATCCATCATGCCTTGTTACCACTGCGCAGGCTGGTGGTGGTGGTGTAATGGTGAGGGGAATGTTTTCTTGGCACACTTTAGGCTCCTTAGTGCCTATTGGACATCATTTAAATACCACGCCCTACCTGAGGATTGTTTCTGACCACGTCCATCCCTTTATGACCACCATGTACCCATCCTCTGATGGCTACTTCCAGCAGGATAATGCACCATGTCTCAAAACTCGAATCATTTCAAATTGGTTTCTTGAACATGACAATGAGTTCACTACAAAAATGGCCCCCACAGTCACCAGATCTCAACCCAATAGAGCATCTTTGGGATGTGGTGGAACAGGGAGCTTCATGCCCTGGATCCCACAAATCAACTACAAGATGCTATCCTATCAATATGGGCGATCTTTTTAAAGAATGCTTTCAGCACCTTGGTAAATCAATGCCACGTAGAATTAAAGCATTTCCGAAGGCGAAAAGGGGTCAAACACAGTATTAGTATGGTGTTCCTAATAATCCTTTAGGTGAGTGTATTTTATAAAATAGCCCCAAGTATAAGCTTTTGCAACATTGAATCTTGGTTGTGATTAGACATATTCTTACTATTACTAATACATAATAAAACATGACATGGTGATTTATATTTGTTGAATTGATTAATATATGGGAGCAATATTTAAAAATGCTGCTTATTTATTTCTCTTTTACTTTACTTTGATTTTTATAGTAACTTTCTCCTTTAAGCTAATTTCCCTGCATGCTGTGTAAAGCCGTTTCAAATCCTGGATACATACAGGTTATAACTACCTCTCCACATTTTCCCCTCACAATACTCGCATGTTTATGCAGTAGAATCTTCTGAAAATGAGACTGGACACATTGTTTAATTAAGACAAGTCCTGTATATACATTCAATAGACTTTTTCTGGTAAATCTTCAATAAAAAATTTTTTTTTTTTGCAGCTTCCTTTCTGATGATGTTTGTATTTTTAATCATACCACAGCATGACTCATCATGTCCGCGAAGTTGAACAGCAACATTGCTGACAGTATTTTAAAAAAGGTTAATAATGAGGTCGAACCAGTTGCAGTGCTCACTTCTTTCAGGTTTTCTAAAGAGAAAACACCTCTCAAAGACTTTGGATTTGTAAATTCACCACAGATGGCTGAAGACTGTCAATTCACTGTGGAGGATCTACATTGTCGCTTATGCTTTGAGGTCTTCGATGTCCCAGTTACACTGAGTTGCAAACATAGCTTTTGCAAAACCTGCATTCAGGCACACTGGGACTGTAGAGGAATACTGCAATGTCCTCTGTGCCACTGTACAGAGCGCTCATCCAGACCTCCAATCAATCTGGCTCTAAAGATAGCCTCGGATGTCTTCAAAAAGAAGCAGGAGCACTTCAGGGTTAAATCGGTGGAGTTTTGCTCAATGCACAATGAGGAACTGAAGCTTTTTTGTCGGAAAGATGCAGAATTTATCTGTGTTGCTTGTACGTCATCAAGGGGTCACAGAAATCATGATTACTGCCCAATAGAAGAGGCAACATCGGAAATAATGGTAAGGTAACGTACGTTAACCTTTATGAAGATGAGGAGCCTTATGTAGCTAGATATTAGCATTTGTAGATGTTAGAAAATAACAGTCATAACTTCAACTTTTATCTCATTTTCCACTTTTTAATCTCATAATTTTGACTATATAGTAATTGACTTAGTATGTCAACTGTTTTCTATGTGGCAAAGGTCTCAAGTTAAATGGGATTGCTTTATAAACGCTCTTTCCATTCACTCACCCCACAGAAAGTGCTCACAACTAGGTACGATCCTTTGAAAAAACATCTAACCACTTTTAAAAAGTTAAAGGGGAGCTTGAAGGAACTGGAAGAATACATACAGGTGAACTATGTACACACGTACAGTCCCTAAACATAAACTTCCTCATGAATCATCCAGTCTAATCTATTTTTATTCTAATTTACAGAAACAAGCAGCTAAAACTGCAGCAGAAGTAAAACAAGAGTATGAAAAGTTATATAGAATCCTGAGGGAAGAGGAGGCAGCTCGACTCATGGTGCTCCAAAATGAGAGCGACAGCAAGACCGAGGTGGTGAGAGAGAAACTGAAGGAGGTCAATAAGAGCATTGAAGAGCTCTCTGACATCATCAACTACATAGAACCCATCATAATAGCAGATAATCGGACATTTTTAAAGGTCAATATACTTTTAAACAATCATTTTTACTTAAAGGTGCTGTGACTTATAGATTAGATTATGACAGGATGTATTTTAATTCGGTAAGGAGGAAGTTGAGGAATATCTTAGATATTCCTCAACTTCTTCCTTAATGAAATTCCTGAACTTCCTCCTTACTGAATTAAATACATCCTGTCTTTTTACAATCCTGTCTATGGTGTAACCATCATCGTCATTCAGCTTATTGGTCTGATTATTTTCCTTTGTCTTTGTATTTCTCTATGATATTTGGCTGTGTAAGAGCTGGTTCACACAGAATGGGCTTTTTAACTGCTTTTCTATGTAAATATACGTTTGGGGAATGTCTTTTTGCCACTCTGTGTGAACGGACCCTAATAATTCGCCACTAGTTCCTTCTAAATGTTCTCATGGGGTTTTATAATAATGTTTTTCAATTTATGAGTAAAATAAAGCCTGTGGTAAACAACTTGGCGATAATTTGACGTTTTGTTCTATAACGTAGGCCACACTGCACACACTAAAGTTCTTATCTAGCTTTTTAGAAACATGTTTTTTTACATAACTACTTCAAAATTCAAATTTTTGGTATGTTTGTGTGTAATTTACATTGTTGAACAAAATGACAAAAGCATCGTCAAAAAAAAAAAAAAAAGCATCGTCAGGTTATGTTTACCACAGGCTTTATTATTTTACACATAAATTGAAAAACCTCATTATAAAACCCCATTGGAAAGTCTCAAGGGAACCAGTGGTGAATTAGTTTTGATGTCATCCTTGCAAAACCCTACAGGCTATGTACTGCTCTGTGGGTGTAATGGTTCAAATTACTCTCTGGTTCTGTTTTTATCATGGTTTCGGTATGTGCTATGTTCAAGGAAAACGGACTACTGTCAAAAAAAAAAGAAAGAAAATACGTTCAAATAACAAACTACAAGCACAACAGCACAAAAACCTGCAATAGAGCAAATATATAAATAAAACGAACAGTGCTTTTCAGGCTATTTTCTGTTGTTTACTTCCTTATCCAGAGATGGTTATTTGCTGATTTCCAAGATATTTCAATTTCCTTACTGTAACTGGCAGAATGCTTGTCTATGTAAGAGAGAAAGTCTCACCTAACAGTAGATTTCAGGTCTAGAAACTGAATAAAGTAATCAAACGTAAAACAACATTGCATGTAATATTCACATTATAAATTAAATACAAATTAGGACATAATAACTTACTATGTTTGGTAGGATACTCACAAAGACAGGCATGTTAATCATTTTTGTGCGAATTTATCCGGTCAAGTGCAAGACTGGACTGAGAACTGAATATTTGAGCGCTGTCTGAGACGCATCTTTCTGTGCACGTGTTTCGGATGTGTGCAAAAATCTTATTACAGCGCACGTGAGTTCTCTTTGTGGCTTCTTGCGCTTGAGTGGTTAAATTGGCAAGGCTTAATTGAGTTTAATTTAAGCAAAGATAGCAACATGGTGTCCAGGTCTCTATCATCACCCGGGTAATGATGGCATAATGTCATATCAGAGCATATGGCGCAATATCTCAGGACAGTTTTTCAGTGACATCTTTCGGGCATTAGGATCATTTTCAGTGTAGTATTCCATAAAAATCACTCACAAAACCTTTAAGTTAGAATCCTTATTTGGTGCAAAAAATAAAGTATTTTTCAAAGGATTAAAATTGTGCTAATTCCTTTACATTTTCTCTACTTACAGGAATGTAAGGAGGCAATAAGACGGTACTGTTAGCAACTACCTTAAATTTAATCAGTCTGTTTTCTATTTTCACACTGAAATCAACAAAATTTATGCATTCATTCTAGGACTAGCTACATTGTACCTGAACCAGAATATCCAACAAGGGCACTTATTGATGTGTCTATGTACCTGGGATCATTAAAGCATGGGGTCTGGAAAAGAATGGAAAATGATGTCAGCTACTGTAAGTACGAATCAAATGTCTTCAGAACACTTTAAGTCAGCATGAAACGGAGGATGTGATAGTCTTTTCTTCTCTATTTAAAATTGCTTCCCAAACAAGAAAAAAAATGTAGGACGAGACCTGATTTTGTCCATTTGGAATTGATTGGATCATTGTTGTTGTGAGTGACAGGTTGTCCCGCCCTCATGCCAGTAAACACTTCATTCCAAGAGAAAGGGGAGGCTATTTTAATTAAAGATGGGCATGGATAAGTCATTTACAATAATACTGCAATCTTCCAATATGTCAATTTCGATTTATATGGTGACTTTAAAGGGAGTGTTCTTCCCAAATTGGAATTCTGATATCCAATAATTAATTTCAATGACTTTTTTTTAGGTGGAATACAAAATTAAGCATGTAGTGTAATTGTTTAAACTGACCATTTCTGTACCAAAGTATACAGGGTTTTTTCCCCCTATACATCACTTAATTTCAAGCCTTCTGAAACTAATGTCTTTGTGTCATAGCTCTCAAATTTAATTAGCACCTTAAAGGAGCAGTTCACTTTAAAAAAAAAACTTTTGCTGATAATTTACTCACCCCCATGTCATCAAAGATATCCATGTCATTCTTTCTTCAGTCGAAAAGAAATGAAGGTTTTTGATGAAAATATTCCAGGATTTTTCTCCATATAATTCACTTTGCTGGTAACCAAAAGGTTCAAGGTCCAAAAGACAGTTTCAGTACAAACTGCAAACTGTTCAAAGGGCTTTAAATGATTCCAGACGATGAATAAGTGTCTTCATCAAAAAGTGTCTTCACACAAGTGCCGTTCATCAAAATGAACGGATCTTTTTCCGAGTCAATTCGTTCATTTCTTTCGTTGACTGAACCAAATGACACGAAAAAAAGATTTGTTCATTTTGATGAACGAGTTCGAACAGGAGAGTCACGATTCACGAACGTGCATCACAGAACAGAGCAAGGCGACCATTTGAGCTTATAAAACTTAAACTTTGTAATATTTTTTTTAAAAATGAGAGATCGTTTTGCTTGATAAGACCCTTAATCATCATCTGGAATCGTTTAAAGCCCTTTGAACAGTTTGCACTGAAACTGTCTTTTGGACCTTGAACCGTTTGGTGCCCAGTAAAGTGCATATGGAGAAAAATCCTGGAATGTTTTCATCAAAAACCTTCATTTCTTTTCGACTGAAGAAAGAAAGACATGGACATCGTGGATGACATGGGGGTGAGTAAATTATCAGCAAAAGTTTTTTTAAAAGTGAACTACTTCTTTAAGACATACATATTGTGCAATGATGGAATGTTTAAAACCCAACCCATCATTGTAGGCCTACAACAGGTTTTAAAATTATGTCCTCCAAATGATAAAATTAATTGGTTAAAAATACACTGCTCAAGTTCAGTGCAATATGCAAAATCATGAAAAGACTTTTTTTTGCTATCTCACAGGCTCTGTCCATTTTGATCCAAACACGGCACATCCTAACTTGATCATCAGAGATGAACTCACCACCATCAGTTATGGGGAAAAACAGCAGGTTCCAGATAACCCTGAGCGCTGCATGGGCAGCATGGCAGTACTTGCTGCTCGCAGCTTCAATTCAGGAAAGCAGCGCTGGTTTGTAGAGGTGGCACACTGCAAAGAGTGGTACGTTGGAGTGGCACGAGAGTCCATAAAGAGAAAGACTGCAGTTTACCTCAGTCCAGAAGAGGGTTTCTGGGTAATTGCATATAATGAGGAATCCTATTGGGCTCAGACCTCTCCTCGCACTCAACTGACTCTGAAAAAGAAACCACAGGTAATCACAGTTGAACTGGACTATGACAAAGGAAAGGTTTCTTTTTCTAACACAGCAGATGGTGCCAGTATTTACACATTTAAAGGGAAGTTTACTGAGAGAATCTTTCCTTATTTTGCCGCTGGGATAAATGAGGGAAACACGCTTCGAATATGTGCACTTTAATGTGTCAGTAATGCGGTACAAATATGTAAATATGTAACCAACATTAATGTTAAGGTCACATTTCACCCAAAATCAGAGGGGGAAAATTAAGCTTATTTTAGGATCATTTGTGCATTGTGCCATTTTTATGAGGCCATATTTTTTTATTAACATTATTTTCAAGAGTTGTTATTTAATTTCCATTACATTAATACAGCAGGTTTTACAAACACCTTAAATCAAGAGTTTTTGTAATAGGAAGCTTTCCTGTTTTAGCCAGTATTTGAGTTTGTGACATTTAATCCTTTAAGGATATTTCTATTTTGTAACTATTTACTTGAGCTAAATGGTTATTTCTGATTCAGAACATTGCAGAGCTATTTTTAGGGTAAGCATTTCAAGCAGAGTATCATCTACCTGAGTCATCTGCAACAAGTCACACAGGACGGACAGCCAAAGAAGACTACAACTACTGTACTTACAGTATTACAAATATGCTTCAAACCATGCTCTTAAATGGGCATTAAAAAACTTTAGATAACATATTAAAATGTGTTTTACACCACTTTGAACCGTACAAGGCCTCCTAAATTGAACCCATTACAAGAACCTCAATGGTAGAGAAAAGGAATATGGTAAAGCAACAATTCTTAATCTACATAACATGTAATGATCTTTAACCATGGTCTTATTTTACCATGGTGCTCTAAGAAAGATTTATTTCCGCCGACTATCATCAGATGTTTATGTATGAGTGATTCTATGTTTAGTAAAATCTACAATTTATATTGCAGTTCTTCATCAGAAAACCTTTTGTTTGCCATTTCTCAGTTCACTTAGTTTTGTCCAATGTATAGGCCAACATCTGTAATGAAAAAGACAAACTAAATAAAATATAATCCTATTGTTCAAGTTTCTGAACAAAACAACCAATGCAATGGTATCACACACAAACAAGTGCAAACCAGACCCAAGTTTGTGGCAAACCAAGTGGCATTAAAAGCATTTCAAGTGGTTAAAAAAACAAGCATTATGTAGTGCCACATCATTTATTGTCATAGGACTTGTGTGTTTTAGAAATACTACCCTTTGTAATGCTCCTTCTAATGTGTTCAGCATGCAAATCCTCCACTAACTGCCTCCATGGAGCTCGCAATGCCACCTAAGTCTCTTATGTCCTCTTGTGGACAGATGTACTATACACACAGAGACACCGGGCTGTAGTAGTAGGAGACTAAATATATTAAATGGACCCAATCCAAAGCTTTGCTTAGCCTGTGCTCTTCAGAGCTTAATGGGAAAACAGATCTTACATCAATAATCAATCACTGAGAGAAAGTGGAGCAACTACCTAAGCTCGCAACAACAAGACTGCAAGACATAAATCTTGTAAAGGGATTTCAGACTAGCATTAGGATTGGTATTTCAAGCTCAATTGTTATTCATAAACCCACTTTTCATTGTCAGTGCCAGTTGGGAGAATTAAATATGGCTGGTCTTTATGTTTTATCTTTGTGTTTGTATATTTGTATACCATTAAGCCATGCCAGTGTGGATCTGCAATAAATAGCAGCTGTTCTCAGCCTTTTTTGGGAACTTACCAGAATCCCCTTATGGTTAAAGATCAAACTTAAAAGCATAGAAATCTTTCTAAACACCATTAGATTGTTTAAGTGTCTCCAGTCAGTTCTCTTTGTCTTTAACTTTAGTTTTTCTTTGAGATGACATATCTTTCAGTTTAGAGTCTAGTTTTCTCTGCAGATATGCTTTTTTATTTGGATCCATTGATTTGTCCTTCTGTCCACTTCCTGCGTAGAGCACCCCTTCTTTACTTATCCTCATTCTAGCCTGAGCTTTCGCTTTGTCTCCACATCCGTGAACCTAAAAAAAACCAATACATTATTTAGAACATGTCACATCAAAAATGTCTTTAGTATAAATGTTTTACATGTTTTTAAAGTGATCATATAATAAAACATTTTTTATTTCATTTTAATGGCTATTTTCAACCCACTCTCTGGCGTTTTTTTAATTGTAAAATCGCCCTTTGGGTTTATAATAAAATTTGAACTTGAAACTTAGTCACCCAACCCTGGAACATTATTAAAAAGAATTTCAGGTGTTTATTTATAATACCATCTAACAAGCTTTCACTGTTTTACATAATCTTGACCGTAACTAGAGGTCGACCGATATGTTTTTTTTCGACGCCGATACCGATTTTTTGAAATCCGGGTCGGCTGATGGCCGATTAATGCTGCCGATTTACTTTGGCTGATATTTGCTTGGTTTTTAACCTCTATTTGAAACATAAAATGTAAAAGAAATGATAATTACTTAACAGACAAACTTTCTCAACAAAAACATTTTATCCTCTCAAAAAAAAGTCCTGAAACATGTATTTTTGGTTTGTTTTGTTTGCTGACGGACAAAGACAAATGGACACAACCTAATTATCCCAAAAAGGAGAAAACAAAACTTTAAATGATTAATTTTTTTTTATATAAGATTTATTATATTTTATTTTATTTAACTTCTAACAATAACATATTTCAGTAGTAAATTGCTGTTGAACGACAAAAACAACCACCAGATGGGAAAATTATATTTTACAAAAACTTTACATGCACCACAACCCACCATCTGTCTATTGTTCTTCAGACAACGGCATCCCGCTGTTGGACCTTTTAGTCCACAGTGAAATACAGTCACACTTTACACTGTTTGGCCAGTGTATGCTTGGATATTGGCCGATGCCGATTATGTTAAAAAAAATGCCATAATAATCGGTCTACCTCTAACCGTAACCATTAAATGGTTGATTTAGACTAGGAACAAAGTTACAAGTTCTAAAAGTACGTCCATTTTCATATTATAATTATCTCAAGGAAAGGAATAAAGGAACATTTAGTTCTTCATGATATAACCACTTTAATATAAAATATAAAGCAAGGTGTACCTCAGGTATATGATGACTAAGACAGTATTGCCTTTTACAGTAGAGGCAGAGCTGCCCTAGTGTTAGGACGCTGGCTTTGCACTTCACAAATGCACACACGCTGTCAGCTTTAACCACAGAATCGATCAGAGAGTCAAAATCATCATCAGCTGTGGCAGCTGCAGCTATATCCACGGCTCCTGCTTTTATCTTAGTGCTTCCTATGAAAGAAAGACCATGATGTGTAATACAGAGAATACAAGTATTGAAAGAATTCAGATGCTGGGATAGATATCACAAACCTTTGGAAGTTGCTTTGGGTTTCTTAACAGACTGTTTTTTACTCGCATTGCAATCTGGTTCCAGTCTCATGCTCTGCTGTTTTTGCTGTTTTTTCTCCTCTCGTTTCTCCTGCTCCCGGCGCATTCGCTCCAAATGTAGGCTTTTCAAATCAATAGCTGCCTGTGAAGAAGCTTTTTGTGATTCTTCTTGTACCTTTTCTGCTGTACATTCGGTCACGTCTGGCTGTTCAGGCTCCTTCACTGGCTTCTCTGGTCCTGATGGAGGCCGGGACACAGTTATGCGACGGTTTTTCCCTTCTCCCTGGCTTTCATGCCTCAATCCCATTTCTTCAGAGAGCTCATGGACCAGTAGACGCTCGTGGGAATTTAGCGTGGAAGGAAACTGTAGTTCTGTCTTGTTTGGGTCTGTCAAAAAGGTCAGAAGCTGATCCTTTATCTCCTTTCTCTTGTTTTGTGTTTGATTGACGTCTTTGGGTTTAGAGTGAAGTGAATTTGTGTTTTTATGTTGATCTGTCTGAACACTGGACTGACTCGCTTCACTGCTTTTATTGTTTCCACTTTTCTTGTATTCCTGCTCTGATTTCTTGCCTTGGTTCTTGGGCTTCTGTTTTACGGATATAGAGTCTTTGGCGTTGGTCTGTTTGTCCTTTTCATCACGGATGTAATTCTGTGGCACACAGTCTTCCAGGTACTCGAAGGCAGTGTGTAATTCTCCATGTTCAGACATATAGTCCACTAAGGATTTCAGGAAATCATGGTTTCGAACAGTCTGAGTATCACACACTACCGCGAGCTGACGTCTGGCACGCGTCACAGCAACATTGATCCTTCTGTCTTCAGCGAGAAATCCAACCTCACCTTTGGGGTAAATGAAAGACAATTCATATTTCAACCATTCCTTATGTTCACATCTTTGGAGAAGCTGTTGCATTTTATGTCATACAGATTTGGGTGGGTAAATAAATGGATGTAGATGTAGTCATCATTTAGATCTGGCGTACCCTTCCTGTTGGATCTGACCAATGACAACACCACTGCCTCCTTCTCTCTGCCCTGAAAACCATCAACAGACTTGATCTCCAACTCTGTATATTTATGGGACAGTTTCTGTCTCAAAAGATCCACCTGAAATAGATCAAATCCTGTTTTTTTAATGTGTGAATGAATGAAACAGCAGTGTAATACTAATGAAGGCATTGCTTTGCACAGACAGTCTTTTTTTACACATAAGTACTTTAAAAAGCATCTAACCTGGAGATTATAGGGCGCAATAACTGCAATGTCTTTGACGTGAACTCCAGCCTCAGTAAGAGCTTTGATATGAAGTGCCACAATGTCTACTTCTCCTGTGAAGAGAATAAAGAGAAAAGCTTATTCATACAATATTATATTATTAAATATATATATACTGTATGCATTAGCAGAGCAATAGTACAGCTGTACATAAAATAATGGGAGACATATCAGAGTTCAAAAGAGGTCAAATTATTGGTGCGCCCATCAAGTATTTGTGTTGTATCGACAGCTACGATATCAAGAGTAATGTCAGCATACCACCACATAGAAACAAACCGAGGTTTCATTATCCAACCCCTTATATTAAATAATATGTTAAGTGATTACTAATTATATTAAGTTAAGTTTAAGGTTATATTAAGTTAAGATTTGGAGCTGATATCAACCTTGATTGCCTTTAGACTGCTCATCTGTGTCCTCCATCTCATTCAGGCCACAGCCTGCAGTGTCAATAAGCAGAAGGGGAATTCTGGTTTCCTCAACATCAGCAACACCAGCCAGGTCTCTGTTCAAGATACAAATAGTTCTTAATATGTATTAACTCAACACAAGTTAGCTAGCAAACATCAACTAAACATAAAAAATAAAAACACTATGTAAAAGATAGCTGTATTGGGGACAGCGATTCTTTGTTGTTTAATTTTGTGGAACAACAAAGTAGAATTTCGCTGATTTAAAATGTGTGATAAAGGGGAAGTTAGAAACTCTATGTGAGAGACGAGCCAAAACAGTGAAATTGAAAAGTTCATCTTAAAAGAAGAGTTCCACTAATTGAACAATAAAACATTGTACATGACCAAAAGTGCCAAATAAAATGTTTAAATGTTTTATCGAGAACATATTTTCCACACCTGAGCAAGTGTTTCTCCACTGAAGGGTGTGCAAACAGCTTTCCCTGATACATCTGCTCTGAAGCCCACTGCATGATGGCACTGTTCATCCGGTACTGAGTGGTCAGCATTCGAACCACAGAGTCTCCATATTTCTTTATTAGCCTCTCCATTAGGCTGACAGACAGGCCTTTAGATGCAGCACTGTGAAAGTTAAAGATAAATTACATTCAAAATATGGACAACATTTTATCATTATGAGACTACATTTTTAATTAAATAAAATTCATACTTAAAGGAGTAGTTGACTTTTAAAAAAAACTTTTGCTGATCATTTACTCACCCCCATGTCATCCAAGATGTCCATGTCTTTCTTTCTTCAGTCGAAAAGAAATTAAGGTTTTTGATGAAAACATTCCAGGATTTTTCTCCATATAATGCACTTTACTGGTAACCAAACAGTTCAAGGTCCAAATGAGAGTTTCAGTGCAGCTTCAGAGGGCTTTAAAGGATACCAGGCGATGAATAAGGGTCTTATCAAGCGAAACGAGCGGCCATTTAAAAAAAAAAGTTTAAGTTTTATAAGCTCAAATGCTCGACATGCTCTGTTCTGTGATGCACGTTCGTGACTCTCCTGTTCGAACTCGTTCATCAAAATGAACAAATCTTTTTCCGAGTCAATTCGTTCATTGAATAAACCAAATGAATCGAAAAAAGATTTGTTCATTTTGATGAACGAGTTCAAACAGGAGAGTTACAGACAAGCATCACAGAACAGAGCAAGGCGAGCATTTGAGCTTATAAAAACTTCAACTTTGTTATTTATTTATTAAATGACCTATCGTTTCGCTTGATAAGACCCTTATTCATCATCTGGTATCGTTTAAAGCCCTCTGAAACTGCACTGAAACTCTCATTTGGAC